GAGCAGCTGTTATTTATTTTAAGACTGCACTGTATTTTCTGTAAATGTGATTAGTTCTGATTAATGGTAATTACTATTTATTGGGATGTTACAAATTTAATTTAACAAAATACAATTTTTTTACATAACATATACTCGTGGTTTAGATAATACAATACTCGTATGTGACGTGTTTATAAGCGAATATTAAAATATCCACTAGGTAATAAACACTTGCGAGTAGCAAGTATCCTATCAGAGATTTTATCTGATACCCTCAAGTCTAAATATTTTTGTACCCTCGTGTTTTTTTCTACACCCCATTAGACATGATAAAATAACAATTTTAACCTTTGTTGTAAAGTATAATCTTGTATTGAGCGACGAACCCTCCTCACCTCCACTTATGTGTGAGAGGCTCCAAGAAACATTTGTTTACCACCAATGCCACTCCATAAAGGTCATTTCTTTCTGAACCCTCATTTCTTTTCCATTTGAAACCTTAAATTTGAGACTTCCTCTTTTACCCTTACAAAATTATATTAGAAAAAAAAGAAATAAAACAAAAACCTTTTATTCTTCTTCTTCCTGCATTCATTACTGCATTAAGTTTTGGAATGGGTAATCCATTATGCATTTACCGAATTTGGGAGAGTATGTGTAAGAAACTATTCCTAAATGGTCAATCCAAAATGTATTATTCGGGTGAGCATTCCGAATTGTTTAGCCGAAATGCATTCTCAGTAACCAATAATACATTTCAGATTGACCATTCGGAAACAACAAAGACGAGTTACATTGCATATAGAAAGCCTCACATTCTAGTTACTCCATATCCATCACAAAGCCATGTGACCCCATTGTTCAAACTAGCAAAGCTGCTTTACCTTAGAGGCTTTCACATAACCTTTGTCCATAAATACAACTACAAACGCATCTCACACTAGTTCATGCAAAAGTTATCAAGTCACTTCACTATGTTTAGCGACTTCCCGAGGGAGTAGTTGTCATCGAGGGTTTGGCCCCCAACGACACCTGTGATGCCATTATATGTTTCTGCGACATTAATATGAAGACGCGGTATTTTCTTGACACGTACATGAAGAACATCGTCGAAGAGAGCAAGTTAAAGAAAAGCATGGAGCAGTTCATTGTAAACATGAGGAAGGAGGTGATGTGGATGGTGGAGGAGGAGAAGAGGATAATGGCACTGGTGAAGAGCATTGTTGATTACTTTCACGGCAATGTCGGGAAGGATGAAATTTTGCATTTGTTCCTAATCATGCATGATTTCTTGATAATATTGGACAAGGTTTGCAAAGAAGCGAGGGACACGACCATGACGCCAACCAAGACTCCCAGCACTACCAAGAAGAAGCTTCTTAAGTTTCTTCCCCTAACATGCGTAATCAAGATTCGCTAACTTCATCCTCTGATCTCCATAGAAAGCCCTCTCCTTCCATTGTTGGAAAGAGAATGGATGACTCTAGTTTTAATAGCTCCAATGATGAGGCTTCTAACTTCCACTTTCATATATTGATATGAATATGATCTAAACTTACATCAAAATGGCACAATTTGAACGATTTATTGGTCTTCATTTTTATATATTGTGCTGTTGTTTTGTAAATTGAGGGATGGGAAAAAGGGAGGGGTGATTTAGTTCTGTGGTTTGTGAATGACTTTGACTACAAAGCCTGTTGTTCTACTGCTTCATCACATGGAGAGTTAAGGAAACAAAGCCTTGTTAATGGAATTCTTGTGTGATATAAGTTGCCTCTGATTATCTGAAGGGACATTTGTATTCATTATCGTAGCATTTCAGTGTGGACTCCTGATCAATGCTTAGTATGGTCTTATTCTCCAAAGTTCAAAAGTTTTTCCTGTTTAACCTTTTACATGGAAACCAAAAAAGATTTCGTGATGGAAGCAGCTCCACCGGTCACAGCAGAACTCTCCTCAACTCAGAATGATGCAACGGATTAGGAGAAGTTGATGGATGATCTGGTGCACTCAAGGTGTTAGGTGAAATGTTTTGTGAAGTATGGAAGTGTTCGTGAAGTTTCTCCAGCTCAGGAGGCCTTCCAAGAAGGAAGGAAGCTAGAGGAAGATTGTGCTAAAGTGACACAGGCAAGTGAACTCAGTAAGAGTGGCTGGAAGAAAATCAACAACGTTTCTCTATTACATTCAAGTTGAATTTACAAAGAGGAGAGTCTCTCTTTTATAGAGGAAGAAATGACTCTAAAGTGCCTAGCAAGCTACGACAATGACAAGATAAATGTGCTGGAAATGCTACCAAGCTTGAGTTGCACGTTCCATACAAGAAAAACATAAAAAACGTGCTTTAAAAGTTGGAACGCTGGTAAATGGCAGCGGGTGTTAGCTGGCTTCCTTTCTTTGCCTCCTTTGCTTCTTTGGCTGATTGGCTATGGTTTCCAAGCTTTATTATTGTCCTACAAAACAATGTAAATGTGTTTAATGAAGATAACATTTTAAGACTTAGAAAGAAAAGATCCTTTTGTTTAAAAGGCTTTATTCAACTTCCCTTTCTTACTAAAGGGGTTGTCATCATTTCGAGAATAAAGTTATGGGGTGAGTTTGTTGCTTCTTTCTCTCCACTAATTCAAATCAAATTGAAATTGTTTAACTGATGTTGGAAGCAAACACACACAAAAAAAGCATTTAGGTTCAAGTACGGGACCAATATCACGAGGGGGGTTGCACTTTATCCCTCCTACAACAGGGAGATGTAAAATAGTACATACATTTGTGCAGGATGCTAAACGAAAAACTTTTCTCTGGAGGTCAGGTGTCGCAGGCACAAAAGGTTGACCTTTGTGAGCAAACTCCTCCACATAAACACAAATCATGTTCTTCCACAAAAAGATTCTGACTTTACCCCAAACCAAAACCTAGTTGCTAATTAGGGGTAAAAATCAGTTATGTTAACTACCACATTCGCGGAAACAACACAGATCACACATACAAAACACAACATCAAAAATGGAAAAAACCCTAAAACCAAACAACCAAAGCACTACAACTAATCAATGAACATAGTAAACCAGACAAAGATAGTAAACATAGTGTGTGTAGTCTAACTTGGCTTCATCCCATTCCTGCATGTAGTAAAAGTTCAAAATTTAGTAGCTACTGGTCACTGCAGTATCCTGGAAATTTGCCTTCTTTTTTAGCTCTAGCATGAGTGATAAACACATGAAGATTGGTTTAACAAGTTCTTTTAATTTGGCAAAACTAACCAGTTTCATATTTATTGGGTCCAAAATGATTGGTAGCAACTATCATGAATTGCTTTTCACATTTTTTGGACCAAAAAGTATTTCCATATAAGTGCCCTTTCTAATTTATTAGAATGAACAGAGGTATATGCATAGATTTTCTAGGTTGGCAAATAACTTTAGTTTGCTATAATCTACTAACACATCTTTGAATAATGAAGACCTTTCTTGGTACACCATTTCTGTGATGTTCCCATCACAGATTTTCGTAGCTATGCAAGGCCTTCACATCTTTTCCCTTTTGCACTGCTAAGCATATAGCTGTGGAATTGCAAGTTTTTAGCAGCATGATGTATTCTTTTTCTTTGCATTTTTTTACCTGTCTGCTGGTAAATGTTTTCGTTTAACTATAAATTTCTACAGCGTTTATTTGATGATGTGTGGTGAATTCTTAGATATAATGAATACTTTTACGTACTTATTATGGATTTGCCCTTGCAATGACTTTTTATTTTAAGTTTTAATGTTTCTTGGAATTTTTTTATACGGATTTGTTTCTTACATTTTTTGTTTAACTGGGTCTTCTATCGGTGTTTTTGTCAATCCCAAGGGAGAAATGAAAGGTAAAGTTTATTCGTTTTCTGTTGTTTTTGCATGATAGCAAAATACACTGTTATTTGTAGATTAAAAGAAAAAAGCTAGATAAAATATATTATCTTTCCCATTCAACTTGATTTGGTTTTCTTGTTTACTTTCGGTCTTTGTTGCTGCTTGTACTTGTACATTTGGTTCACTTTTTAAGATTCTAGGTTCTGCTGTCACTGGTCCTATAAGAAAGGAGTGTGTTGATCTTGCAAGAGCATGATGAATGTGTAGAGACAGAAAAAGGAAAAATTAAACTGGATAACTGTGATGTAAACTATGGTTGGAAATTTAATGTAGGTGAAAATAGCTTCAGCCCAAGAAACAAACTCTGGGAAATAGAAACAGAACTAGTCTCAAGAACAGAGGTGTCACAACTAGTTACAGGCTTCACATCAGATGCATAATGCATTATTCAGGTGGGCAAGATCCTTTCTTTTTCAATTATAGATCGATAGGCGACTATTGCCTTATGCAAAGTGACAAGAGGTGATGAAATTGTACAAGGTGTTTAGGTTGTTCAGTAAACAAGCTAACTAAGGTATTAAGTCTTTATGCTGTTGTATCAAAATTCACCCAAAAATTTTGCCCATGTTCATAAACCAATGATGCACAAAAACTTAGCATACATTTATTACGGTTCACAACTATACACGTCCACAGATAAAAAGTTGAAGGAAATTGATTGCCTCTATTACTATATTAATATTCCAAGTGACCCTTTAAACTTTTTACTTTGTACTTACACATAAATCACTGAGATAACCAGGCAATTAGTGGGGCTTCTGTAGAATGATGACCCGATTATGTCCAATACGAGTCTCATTGATTCGACCAAGGTGACGAAGAACCTGAAGAAAGCCAAAGAGGAGACGTGAAATTTCTTCAGGTAGCAAGAACCAAATTATCTAGACAAATTGCAGACTACATATTCCATGAAGGACTTTTCTTCTGTTATCTTCTCATCCGGTTTATAATAGGATTGCGTCAAAAAATGTAGAGAAACATTCCCTAGGGGATAATTGCATAACTACGTTAAGATTTCGCAACATTTGCTTAGCCACTGTCTATTAGGACCATATTAAGCATTCGTGCATTGCCTCAATGATGTTGGTATTGATCGAGCATAAACGAAACAAGTTCTAATTATACCTATTTTACAGTATAGTCTTGGCTAGAAAGGGAGCCTCTCCTTTGATTATCCTTCAACCATTCCACATTATGAAAAGGTGAAAAGGTGAAGGCAGAAATGACAATGTGGTTGGTCATCCAGCATGATTACATTACATCAGCTTAGAACTTTAAATATTGTTGACTATTCAATTTAAAATATCAAAAAAATTTAAATGTAATTGAAGAGATAGTTCAACTTCACCAAAATCACATGTTTGAGACAAGAATACTCACTGTCAGTATTGCTTTTCCAGTGTTGTCAAGTTTCAGCGATGGTCCTTTTATGTCAGCTTCAAGAAAAAAGTGTTTTCCCTTAATCCCTTCCATGGTCGCAATATCTCTTATTTCCTGTATTGTTAAGACAACTGAGAACCTTTTTCTTTTGCATACACTGATATATAGATAACTTAAAAAAGTATGACTAAGGGGAAATAATTCCTTGTGAAAATAATTGAAATGAAAGGTTTCACTCACCAGGGCTTTTTCCCAAAGATTTTCCGCCAACTTCATGAACAAAAGAGAAAAAATTGTCAAGACACGGGTAAACCGTAGAAAAATGTACTTTACAATGAAACAAAAAATTATGTTTTAACCTTCTTTTTTGGGGCTACGATAAGTTGAGAATTTGCTTCAGCATAAGACACCATATCATTGATTGCTGCATTCACCTTCTCTAGTGTAAGCCTGCCTCTCATATATCTGCAAAATCAGACCTGATGTCAGTTAATGAAGTGGGCATAAATCATGGATAGAAAAGTGCATGCTTCTGAATCAAAAGTCTAGTCATTAACTAAGTCGGCATGTTGAGATATTTCAAATGACAACTGCTGAAAACACTTAGATTGCATTTAGTATAAAATGAAGAGCCAAATGCATGTTTTGTCGACATCGTCACGTCATCAGTGTGTTATATGACATATATATGATCTAGCCGAATGCTGATTGTTAATTTACAGAGAAATATTTAAATAATGAAAGTCTAAAAGTTACTTACGATGACAAAGAATCTAACTCACTTCCAGTAATATACCACGTTGGTGGAGAACCACGACCCTTTTTCTCCTGAAAATTAAAACAAAGAAAATGTAAACCATAACTATACAGTGTGTCTAGTAATGACAAGAAAATGGGATGGCTTTATCAATTCCAAGGCAACAAATTCTCAAGTAGGATCCTGTCAAACATATTAAAAAAAAGAAAAGAAACAAAACAAAATTTCATGAAATGCTAGGTAATAGAAAAGTTATAAACATAAACAACTATTGGTGATTTAAATTATTTCAGAAGGATTAGGATTAAGAGAACTGGTGCTACTAGAGAAAGCCTAAGTCAGCCTAATCCAGGTATTTAAAACAAGAAAGCTGTAGCACATATCAAGAAAATAGATAGTGATGAAGCAAATAGTTAATAAATATGTGGGTCATAGGTTCAGTATGGTGTATAAAAGAAGGAAAATATAAGATAGTTAGTACAGCTGTATTTGAACAGCTGTAATTGACAACTATAAATAGTCTAGAAGAGTAGGACGAGAGACTTTTTTTGGGAAATCAGAAAAAAAAAGGATTGCGGAGAGTAGGATTGTCTCGAATAACCTCAGTTGTATTGAGCTTGTCCAAGTTCTTTCTATTCCTTAACTTTGTCCCCTACTACATTCGTACGGGATTGGAATTAAGGAGAGCAATAAAATTCTAGTGGTATCTTTCCGTTCTTTTCAAATATCAGTTCTATCAGTGTGGTGCGTTTTTTAGGAGTATCGTGAATACAAGAATGGATGTTGAAAGATGTTCTTGACAGAGAAAGTCGAGAATGAGCAACATTTTACAAAGATTGGAAGATTAGATAAGAGGCCTCCCAGTTGTTGTGAAAAAAATATCATGTGGCAAGAAAACAATGGATACTTCATCGACGGTGGAAGAAAGAATTGGCAAAGAGGAAGGAAAAGAAAGGTGGCGACCACACACTCATTCACTGTATCAGAAACTTGATATTTTTGTTTATGCAGGATAAGAAGCTTAGGATTGGACAAATAGGTTGGAGCGGAATTTTCGCTTGAAAGAGGTAACAGAAGAGAAAAGAAGGCAAGCAGTGATAATTGCTTTAGAAGGAAGCCATTAAACTGGTTCCAATGATGGAGACTCAAATCCAACATGGGAATCTTTCAAAATTGCAATGGTAAGAAGGTTCCAACTCAACATGCTAAAAAATCCTTTTCAAATCTTGATTGGATTAACACAAACGAGTACTGTTGAAAGTTACATTGAACAATATGCGGGATTCTTGGCATTGAATAAGATTATTTGATAGGAATATTTTTGAATGGCTTGAAAACAAGACATTAAAGAAGAATGAAGTTATATATATGAACCCAACCATCTTGCTGAATTGATAATGAAGGCTTAGATGGTTAAAGGAAAAACCAAATGTCCAAAGGGGGAGCACCATGTTGAAATAAAGAAAGTAGTGGATACCAGCTATATTCGATGACTAGAAGTTTTTCCAAATATGTGGAAAATCTTACTACAGTCATTAATTATGGCAGAAGAAAAGGGAAAACAATGGAGATAACTAGTAACGTGAATATTAGTTAGGTATATTGGGTCAAGTATTCACTTCTAACAAACTCTCTAACTCTACAGCTTCCTTCCTATACTCCTTGCCTCCTCCTCCCGGTCAGTGGGAGCTTATTACATTGGTACGGGATTGAAATTAAGGAGAGCTCTATCTTTCCATTATTTTCCAACATCAGCTCTATAAGTGGGATTTGTATCTTGAAATTATGGGGACAGAGACCACATTAGGCGTGAAATAAAATTATATTTGCACTAAAAGTCTAAAATCTCACTTACCTTAGGTACTGCGTTAGGCTCCTCGTCAAGTTTCAAGGCCTCAAATGATCCAGAGTCTTGTCCAGAAAATTCAGGAAACAAACTGAAGAAGAGCATTAACAACGATTAGGTGTGTATGCAAACAGAGATAATATCGTCTCATATTTCATTAAATCAAAGTATATAACAGATTAAAGTTTATAAATATATAGAGAAAGACACACACATTACCATCTACTAGTTTCTAAGTGTGACACTGTCACTCTATCAACCATTTGGGAGGGAACATGAAGAGACATACTCTGCAGTTTCTTTTGCTGTCTCAGTGATGCATCAATTAGTTTCTGCAATAAGGCCAAAATAACAAATTCAAGGGACATCACTCGAAAATTTAATTTCTAAGAGTGTTACGCAATTTTTGTCTAAAAGAATAACTAAAATTATAAAAGCAAACAATCTTCTAATTTCAATTTAGGTGACAATGTTAAAGAGGCCACTAATTCAAAGAAAAATAATTAAATAAAAAAAAACACTCATTGAAACAATAAAAGAAGAGTGTAATGAGAGTGCCTTTGTTTTGGGAATGGCTTGCGTCTCTTCGCGCAACCGGTCCTTGATGGCCTTCACCTGAAGCTCCATCGCGCTCACCGCCGCATCCACCGCCGATAGATCCGCGATACTGCTAGCAGGGTACACTGTAAATTCATGCGCGAACAAAAATCTTCAGTTAATAGAAACATAAATAGGTGTAATAACCTGAAGGTTTGAAATGAAATTGAAAGGAATCGACGGAAACTCACTGTTCCGTGCAATGACAAGCTCCTGAAGCTGCGTTATTCGAGCGTTGAAGGAAGACATCAAGGAATCCAGAGATGCCCCAGCTTTGTTCCCGTTCATCGCTCTCTCTCACACACGCAAATCGAACTGCAAAGTGAATCAGTGAATGAGCAAAACAAATCGTCTCGTTTTGATTTGGGAGTTTCGATTTGAAAGAGACGACGAGTATTTGAAATGCTATCGTTTAGGCGGCAATATTTCGATTTGCGTATTTATAACTTCTTTTCAGTTTTTGGCATGCTATGTATGGGTAACCCATGGATAATTGCTGAATGCACCTCCCATAAAACAAAATGGACCCCTGACACTCAAAAAAAAAAAAGTTTTCGGAAATTATAAAGTCTCCACATTCACACTATTTTAATAAGGAAAATATTTTTTTAACAACTTTTTTTTTTTCAACTTTTTTATAATCGCTTATGTGGTAGTTTTTTATTGGTCCGTTTCAAATATACGGACCAATAAAATAATGACACATAGTCTATTGTCAAAAAGTTATTAACATATCATGGTCTTTTAAAAAATGTGAGATTGTGTAGAGTTTGTCCTCTATCTTCTAATGATGGATTTGTATTTGAAGGTGGAGGGGCAACTCCCACTTAAACTTTTCTTATTGGGTGTTGCTCCCTCCACCACCACCCTATACTTAATAAACCTCACCACATTATTTTAAATACAATTATATCCTTAAGTTAAAAAGATTTTTACTTTTACCCTATTTTAAATAATTTGAAACCCTAATTTTACTTTCCCAGCACCCACCCACGAAACTCTTTTCCCCTTTCCCCATTTTCATTTTACCTCCCGCACTTCCATTCCTTTTTCTTCCCAGTTTTTTTTTTTTTGGTTTGAAAGCTTCCATTGCCGCCATGGTGTGAAGGAGCGTCGCCGTCATGGTGTGGAGGAACATCGAGGAGCGTCCAGAGTATCAACCAACGTGAGGAAGTATACATCAACGGAGGTGATATCCTTCAACGGATGTCCCCTAATAAAACAAACTCTAAAATAAAAAACGTAACCTTTAAACGGAGGTGACATCTTCAACGGATGTCAACATCCGTTTAAGGTAAAACGGATGTCGACATCCGTTTTTCCTTAAACGGATGTTGACATCCGTTGAAGGATGTTGACATCCGTTGAAGGATGTTGACATCCGTTGAAGGATGTTGACATCCGCTGAAGGATGTTGACATCCGCTGAAGGATGTTGACATCCGCTGAAGGATGTTGACATCCGCTGAAGGATGTTGACATCCGCTGCTAAAGGATGTTGACATCCGTTGAAGGATGTTACCTCCGTTTACGTTTTTTATTTTAGGGTTTTATTTCAAGGTTTATTCGAATACGAGGAAGCACGACACACACTGCACCACTCCACGCACTGCACCACGAGAGCGACACTGCACCACGAGAGCGACACTGCACCACGAGAGCGAGACTGCTTGATAATTCTTTCCACCACCACCAACCTTTGCAACTTGTAGTATCTCACAACGACGAAAGAAAGAGAGGAAGAAGTATAATGTTAAAATGAAAGAAAAATATTTTACTCAGGGACTAGAATACATTATTAGTGAAATAGGTTGTGAATGGATAAAATTAAAAAATAATAACCCTAAAAATAAAATTTTGCTGAGGGACAAAATAGTAAAGGGGAGGTGGAGGGAGAAAGGTGTGGTGATGGAGGGAGCAACACCCTTTCTTATTTACTAATTATATATATATATATATATATATATATATATATATGATATTTTCTATCTTATTAAAAGAATAGTTTATGCTCCTTAATACAGACTATATTTTTAATGCATAAAACAATTATAAGAAGTAAAATAGAGAACATATTATACTAATTTTATTAATAACTTAATTTTTGTAGTAAATATTTTTTATTATTAATTTATTATGCTAAATGAGTTTATTGCATTTTTAAAATGGTAAAAGTTAATATTTATGGATCATTTGCTAGATTTATTTGTTGCCTAAGGGTAAAATATACATGTAAGTTCGTCAACATTTCATTTATAGCACAAATTTGTAGCTTATAACTATAATAACTCAAAACATTATATTAAACATTTGCTTCCTACATATATAATTTATATATGTATGTTTCTTAGTCCATTTACTTTTACACGCATTATATCCTTTTACTCAAACTCAATTCAATCTATTTTATATAACATTGTGACAGAAAAAACAACAACATAACAAAATTTTCAGATAATAAAATAGATATAATTTCTCCTAACTTGTAAGAATCTATGAGGTGCAATTATAAAAGAACAACAAAAAATCACCAAAATCACAAATGTTGAAAACCCCTCAAAGCAAGAGTAAAAAAAAGTAATATAGACCAAAGAAATAACTTCACTATGATCAACAGAGAGTACAAATGAGTCTTAATCAACTGGACAAAGTAGTGCTAACACCCAGCCAAACAACAAATCAACAAGCTTGCAAATAGATAACAAGGAAAATAAAGAAAATTGAAGTACACAATTGTAGTGCGAACTAAATTTCTCCCAACTTAGACCCCATATCAACGATTTCAACGGTCATAATTGAGAATAGAATGTTCTGAACCTACTGTCAAATTTTAAGCACAGTCCAACAGTGAAAAAATCCACAATGTCAATTTTATAGTGGCAACTTAGTGAAAAATGTGAACCGATTTTTTCTTCTCTCAATGTGCTAGGGTTCTAAATAGATTTTGACTCTACTTTTTTTGTCTCGCACTTACTTTCTACCTCCCTCTCCACTAGGTTAAGTGAGACACAACTTCTCAACTTTTAAGTCTTTTCTCCACACAGGAAGGGAGTTCAATACCCAATACCCACCATGTTACCAGTAATTATTATCATATGACATTGGAATGGCCTAGGTGAAACCCAACACACGATGTTAACCCAGTATTGTTGTGGTTATCCAACACAACCATGTTCCACCAAACAAGATTGTGCCATCAAAACAAAGTCTTGAACTACATAAAAATTCACATGATAAACAAATAATTGCTTCAATTCTCTTTGTTTTGCATCACTTCACAATTGGATTAATCTAATACTTTTAAAGCACATGATACTTCAAATAAGTGAATCTAATTCACACTTATATCTAAATCACAACAAAAAATTTAATTGAAATATACGAAAATTCTTCACAATGGCAAAGCACACACTACACAATGAATTGTGAATAAACTCAAAACATAGCAATCACAAGAAACTCATGTTAACTACACTAGCTTCGAAGGTTCAAAATTCTCTAATCACATGCAATAGAATCCTACATAAACTTAATAGTTATCTTTCAACCAACAATTTTCTTAAGCATCCATACATGAGATATTTTCTTCCATCTTATCTCAAATGGTAATATGTAATATTGTTAAGTGTGATGTATTAATCCAAACACTATTATTCAAACTTTTTCCTTATTGTCTCTCCTTTAAAACCTCCCTTTAGTGTCAAAACTTTAAAAACATAGAATGCAAGGAAAAAATCCTAACCTTTTATTTTTGTTCTATTGAGTGATTTTGATTTGAACTTTTGAAATCTAAAATCAAACTTATTCTTAAACTGTCATAAACTTAGTAGCAATAATTTGAGCTCTCTAATGCTTTTTAACTTTAATTGTGCTCATTTTTATTTAGCATTGAATGAAGTGTTATTTAAGTTTAAATTTAATCCTTATTTCCTCTTACACTTGTTGATCTTTCTCATTTTTCTTTAGTTTTTGAAGGTATTGATTGAATGATTAAATTTTAAAGAGAGTAAGGAACTTTCAAGGACATCATACAATTGAGAAAATAGAATTTGTTGTTGAACTTAGGTTATCCAATATTAGATGGTTTAAACCTACCTCTAGATAAAAATTATTACATGAGCACTTAAGCAACCAATTTTTTAGGGCAACTTAAGGCAAAGTTGAGAGGAGAATAAACCAATTTATATGATAGTGATTCATTTCATATTATAGCATAAGTGCATTTATTAAAGGTCATTATATTATAAAGGCTCAATGCCGATAAAAAAAAAAAGAACCAAATTTTGAAACCCATTTTCACACACTTAAACACATACAAATTTTGAAACTTGAGAAGGTTTTTATTCTTTTGAGGATTCTTCCCTCGTGACTATGAATAGTTAAGTTTATCTCTCGTTAGGTTTAATAGTATTAAATTTATTCAATGTAGTTATCAAGTTTGTATTTTTAAATTAATGAGCATTTATTATTGTTCTTCTTTTATACTTAATCCTTATGCTATAATCAATTATATAATTTTGTAATTTTAATTGTAATTAATAAATTATTTTTTAAGTTAATAACTAAAGACAACAATCAATTAATTTTGTCATTGAATAGGATAAAAAGGATTGATTATCATTGAAACCATTTTTTTTAAATCAAGTACATTAGGTACACTAATTAAAGGTGTTGACAATAAATAAATAAACCTAGAAAAGTAACCCTGAATACTTCTCAATAAACAGTCTTTCAATAGTTTCCCAATTTGTAATACATGCAGAGAGATAATAACACCAATCTTGAGCTACTCCTTGAATAGTAAAAGGAAAAGCTCTCATTTTAAGGCTCTCTATTGTGATCCTAGGAGATCTAAAGTTTTCACACAACATGAGAAATTGTCTCAAGTGCTTATGTGGATTCTCCCTTGATAACCCATTGAACTTTGGTAAGGCATTTAACAGGTCAGGTCTCAACTCCCACTCCTCATTAGGATGTTCAATGTTAGTTCGGATAACTGTATTCTGGGAGGTGGCTAACTATCTGATGGTTCTTTTGTGCCATATTGTTTGAGTTAGGATCAGGTAAAGGATTAGATGGTATGTTTATAACTGGAGATAATGAAGGTGGTATGGCTTCAGATGTAAGAAGTGTTCCCTCAGTAGAACACCTAAATTTCAAACTTCTTTGCAGCTTACGCAAATTACTTTCGACTTTCGGGTTAATTTGATAAAATTCTCCCGGGTTAGCTCTGGTCATGCACTACGCAATCTACTTGAAGTTTTTTCTTTGTTACTTCTCTTTTTCTTTTGTTCTTGCTTTAGAGAAAGATTTCAAATAAGAGATAAGAGAGACTTGTTGGGTCCACTCCCAGGAAAGAGAGGTGAATCACAATGGACAACTTAAGTACCAAGTCTTTC